CTAGTAAATGTACAGTAGCCAGGGATGAAAGGAAACCTCCTCTATCTAAGATTACACATGCGAAGCCTTTGCTGTAGTCAGTGCAAACCAGGAACTGTTTTGATTTGGTTATCAGCAGGTCAGTAGATGTAATAGCAATAAGAATGGGGACAGTCATAACTACAGCCACGTGTGCGTATGTGGTACTAAGACTAGTCTACTGCGGGCTGACCAGAGAGGAAACATGGTCCTCACAGCAGCGCTCGGCATCAAGAGTCAGTCCCTAAAATCAGCTAACCCTTGACCTGGTTTTAGTACAATGGCAATCTCCAGCCTCAGGAGCTACTATTCAAACCAGTCTTATAATAGTCGGGGACATGTTTGAGAAACTTGGAGAAAACTGTCAGGCGGTAGAAGAGCCACTTAAAGACAAAGATGGAAGGAATGGCAGGGAGGATTTGATGGATGCCAGCATAGCAACATCCCTAGAAAAAGAACAAGTTTGGACCAAAGACAGAAGGTGAGAGAAGTAGTGTGTGTGTGTGTGTGTGTGTGTGTGTGTGTGTGTGTGTGTACGTGCACTAAGATCTGCCCCTGGGGGAGGCTGATGAAAGGACTACCATGGTGTGACAGTGACTTTATGAAAGGACAGGACAGTATGGCAGGTGAGAAGGCAGAGTACATGGATCCTACACAATGAACATAAGATGTGTTGGTCACTTGTCATCATTATGACCAAAATCCTTGCCATAAACTATTCAAGGGAGGCAAGGTTTATCTTAGTTCACATTTCAGAGGGCTCAATCCATGGAGACTTTACCCTATACTCTTGATAGAACATGGCAGTGGCAGTGTGTGGCTGATCTTCAATTACTGGGAGACAGGAAGTAGAGAGAGGAGGAAATATAGGAAGGAGCCCAGATGGCATGCAGCCTACAAGGACATGTTCACAGTGTCAACTTCTTCCAACGAAGTTTCAACTCCTACCCTTCCCCCATATGACATCATCATATTATTTATGAATACACTGAGGGCTTGATGGATTCATCCATGACAGCAGAACCTTCGTGATCCTCCTGTCTCTGGGAATTCTTCCCAGACATGTCCAGGGGTGGATTTTACTGATCTCCTATTCACTGCACAATCCAATCAAGTTGCTAATCAGGATTATCCATCACAGAGAGCAACACTATATTGAACACTAGAGTTTATCCAGAACATTTTAACCCAGGACAGACATATTTTTAATCAACAGAAAAAAAAAGTAGTGTGACCAGATCTCCAAATGGAGCTATTAAGTTTAAGACACAGAAAGAAGGAGACAGACAGAGACACACGGGGAAAAAAACCACGGTTGTTTATGGTTTTTCAGGTTATTTAGGAATGAAAACTCAATGTGAAGATATGAGGTCATCTGAAAGATTCATTTTCTTTTCCAAGGTTTGAGGCAATTCCACGCATGATACAGGATCTACTCATTGTTTTTCGAATAACAGTGAAATTTCCATTGTCTCAACCCCCAATGACAGGGTTCCCCTCCATTGGGTTCTGTGTACTTTAAATGATAGAAAGCAAAGGACATAATTAGTGAGCAGTCAACCAACACATGGGGAAATCTAACCATTCCTCCTATCTCATCATTTCTTCTCAGCGATGTAAAATGGATGCTAACGGATGCGCACATTTGAAACGGCCTTAGTGCTCAATGCACACACATGACTGACCAATTTGAGGGTAGATGTGCCAATTTCTTCTTTAGATCTACCATTATCACTTTTAGTCCTTTTTCTTTGAGACAAAGTGGCTGGCTTCCTCTAACTCACTATGTATCCAAGGATGACCTTAAACGTTTAAACTAAGGGCTGAGATTTAAGGTAAATGTACCCCCATGTCTAATCTATGCAGTGTTGACAGTCCAGTTCAGGGTTTCACACATGCTAAGCAAACACCCTCTCCATCAAGCTATACTCATAGCCTGGGCTGTTATTATTTTTAAAGTTTCTTTCCTCCCCAAGAACTGTGGACTGAAATTATGAAGTACATACAACTCCCAAGATGTTTATTATCTAAAGAAGGAGATTCTTTTATTCTTAGACTCAACAAATGCAATGATTTGAATGTGTCCCCTCTGAAGCTTATTTTGGAACTGCATCCCCACTGCCCTGGTCGTATGAGGCTGGGCCTTTAGAAGGCCACTAAACCATGGCAGCTCAGAAGAAACTTTGTCTCTCTTGCACTTCTACCTTCCACCTCACGAAGACAGAGCCACAAGATGTCATTCTGGAAACAGAGAGCAGTCCTTACACAGGTACTGGTACCCTGATCTTGGACTCCCCAGTCTCTAGAACAGAAAGAGATAATCTCTGGTTCTTCACAAATCTCACCATCTTGAACATTGTGTTACAGGAACAAGAGCAGACTAAGACAATGGACCTTGAGTTACTGTGGACTTGATACAGAAATGTCTGAATCCTTTTTCGTGGATCTCTGGGGATCCAAAGAAGTGATGGAGCCCTGGTTCCATCTCCTGGCACTGCAGATCCTGGATGGGTCTTCTCTATTTTGCTGTAGGTATCTGATAATGACAGGCAGGTTATTCACACGACACCTAATTTACAAAAAGCCCAGTGACAAACCAAGGCAAGGGGAGAGATGAGGGAAAAATATGTGCATGTGCTTTTGTGTGGAACTCTGTCCTGCTGTATACTTCGAAGACGAGCTCATACCAGTACTATCAGTGTTCACGACAAAGAAAATACAAAGGGGCCAGAAGGAGGACTTGGCACTTAAGGTGCTTTGCCACCAAGCCTAATGTTCTGAGTTCAATCCCTGAACCAGTATCGTGGAAGAAATGAACCAACTCCCACAAGTTATCCTATGATCTATATGTACATGCATCTGTATGCACACACGAAGATAGAGACATAGAGACATAGATAGATAGATAGATAGATAGATAGATAGATAGATAGATAGATAAGCAATGCATGCACACAGACAGGCAGACACACACACACACATTCATACATACATACATACATACATACATACATACATACATACATAGTACATCATAATAAATAGAGTGAAGAGTAAATACTCAGGGAGAGGCAACTCCTTGGATCTTCCTCGCCGCTTTGAAAGCCCAGGCCTGAAATTTCTGCATTCCGAGGAGACAGCTTTTGGCATTCTTGCTCACTGCTGGCATCACCTGCAGCGCCTCCTTCCATTATTACCACCCCCATCCATCTTAGGTGCCCGGGACCTGTTCTCCCTAAACAGAGCCCACCTGGAGCCCCAGCCCCTTATGTCTTCCCAGTCAAAACTTTTTCGGTGTTGTTTTCTGAGTCTGGCAGTTTTGTGTGAATCCTCTGAAACACTGAATTTTCATACTCAAAGAGTATCCTGTTAGGAGGTGAGAGGTCAACAGAACACTGAAGGAAGGCTCGCTCTGTCCAGCATGGAGACCAGGCAGCCACTCAGTACAACTTTCATCCCCACCTCCCAAACAGGGACCTCACTCTCTAAGGGATATGAATGGTCAGCAATTTCTCCTTCATCCCCAGAGAACCGGGAGATGGTTCCCTCCTGTTCTTAGGTATTACTCAGCCATTGCTCACACACAAGGGTACTTCACAGAGCCATCAAAATGGCCTTTTACACGGTGACCCAAAGATTTCTGCCCCGCAGTAACTTCTCACTATTTAGCCAACGTTCAGCCGCCTGTGGCTACACTCTGATAGGTTTCTCAGGTCTCAGGATCATCCGGGCTTGTAACATGTCCTCCTAAACTCTTACATCTCTGCATTCCTACTCTGCATGGCAGGGATGGGACACCCCAGTGAGCTTGGGTTCCCTGCTAGTGGTCCAGACATCTTTGAGGTTCACATACAGATGAGCTAACATGACCAGCATACATGTGTGTTCTGTCATTTTCCCCATATCCAAGCCAGTCCAAACATTCAGAGGAGAATAAACAGGGCAACTTGACACAAAGGGGTCCTCAAAGTTGGCCCTCCAACAAGCCCTCCCTGCCACCTCGTATGAATGGTATCTTATCCAGGACATTGGCCCTCTTGTCCTCCTCTAACTTGCCCCTTCCTCAGTCAGAGCCCCTCCCTTATATTTGTGGCCTGCATGCCACTGCGCCTCTGGGTAAGAAAAGCCCCATGGTATACTGGCCAGACCCACATGAAATTAAACTCTTGCAATATTCTTCATAATTTAACATCATCTAATTTTAATCTTCAAACTAGACATTACCCCCGTTTTATAGATGTGGAAACTGAGCCACACAAACCCTCAGACTTCATACCCAATGCTATTTATTCTAGATCCTATTTACTCCAGAGTCTGAGAATCCGAGACAGAAATTTTTCTAAGGTATAGCTCCAAGTATCAAGTAAAGAGTGAGTTGTGAAGAGCGGGGCAGAGGTACCGACCATGTGCTATTTCTGTCTCTGCTCTGAATTAACTCAGACAAACCTTCCTGGTCCTCAGTTTCCTCCTTCATAAAACCATGAGATTGAATTAGACAGCCCTGCTGCCCCTCAGCTGTCCTTCGTCTCCAGTTCCATCTTGGCCTTGCTGCTAAAATTAGGCAGACAACATAGTTGAAATACCTTTCAATTTTGGTTCTCATGGCTTTAAACTCCCTAAGATCAGCTATATGCCCAAGGTTTGATTAGTTATATATGCAGCTAGTGTGTCAAGAAGGAATACACTTGCCATCTCTGTCATAGTCTCTTCTTGGCAGGGTCATGAGCAATTTAGTCTGGAGTCACTAGCCACAGTCTGGAGTCATCTATGGCATCCATACCCCAAGGAAGACCTTCTTTAGAGCCACACATTCTGACAATAGTGGTTCTCAACCCAGGGCACATCCGACTATTCCAAAACATAGGAAGGAGACAGGTACACTGCTTGTAGCAGACAGAGGCCGAAAATGCTGTGGAGTACACTGTAATGCACAGGACAGCTCTCTCAGTACAGAATTGTCTGGCTCACAATGTCAGCAGTCCTAAATGCCCTCTACTGCTTCCAGCTGGTCTGGTCCACACAGGAGGTTCACCAGCTGGGTGTATCCAAAAGAACCAAAGATCTGAGCATCTCTTACCGTGCGAAGAAGGAAGCCGCCACTGAGGTACCTGTAGAAGTCTCACTGGCCACACAGGAGCCCTGGGAGGCAGGGACGCTGCTGGCTGCAGGCTTGTCTGCATTGTAGCGGTTCAGCACAGATTCTGTCAGTCCCTCTCGGCCGGTCTCTGTCATCAGCTGGGAGATCTGACAAAGAAAATGACATGGAGCTCATTACCTGGGGCTCACAGAACTTCTGCCCATTGCCGGCAGCTTGCTGTCTTGAGAACGGGGTGGGTTTAATTCCACCCACACTCAGTAACCTGGGGAGCACAGGGTTTCTCTGACCATTTGTCAGCACGTGAGCCAGTTCACTTCCTTGTTCCCATCTAAAATAACGGAGCAAAATAACCCCCAACATTGTAGGTTGCATTGCACCTACTTCTTCCCTTCCTGGGGAGGGGAAAGTGTCCCACATGCTCTTCCCACATTCAGGGTGGCATTTCATAGGCTGGGCTCTGAGCTGTACAATCAAGCAAACATGCAGAGATCCATTGTACTGTTCCCAATTGCCCAAGTGACATCACTAACTAGCTGTCTCAGGCCCTGGATCCTTTGACGTCCCTGCCATGATGGACTGTAACCTGGAATAGTGCAGCAAAACAAATCATTCCTGGCTTGACTTACTCTCTGCTGGGGCATTTTATCACAGCAACAGAAATAAGACTAGAGCGTATCCTGCTTCTGTTTTGCTTATTTGTTTGAAAGTAGGTCTCCTGCAGCGTAGACTTCCCTTGAACTTCCTATGTAGCAGAGACTGTTTCCAATTTTTTTAAAACCAGTGATTGCTTTTGTAACAGAAGTCCACATAGATAGTCCATTCTGTCTATCTCCCCCATATTCTGCTATAAAGACCCATACTTCTGGGGAAAATGAGGAAATGGTATAGAAACATACTTCTGTTCATCTCACATAATATAGTGATTATGGAGTAAAACTCTATGTGTGCTACGTGGTTATTTTAAAACTTTAGTTTAGTTCCAAAAGCAAAAGCATTAGCCTAAAGAAACAAACAAAAACAGGAGTAACTGGTGTGGGATGTCCTTCTGGCTCTATGTTGCTTTTATTGGGTAATGAATAAAGAAATTGCTTTGGCCGATAGCAAGGCAGAACTTAGCTAGGCAGGGAAAACTAAACTGAATGCTGGGAGAAAGAAGGTGGAGTCAGTAAGACGCTATGTAGCCCTGCTGGAGACAGACGCTCAGGTCGGAAATTTACCTGGTAAGCCACAGCCACATGACGATACACAGATTAATGGAGATGGGCTAGTTTAGGATATAAGAATTAGCCAGAAATACACTTAAGCTATTGGCCAAACAGTATTGCAGATACTATGGTTTCTGTGTGATTATTTCAGGGCTGAGCAGCTAAGAACAAACAAGCGGCCTCCTACTATACAGGTAACTTTAGCTAAACAAAAATGTCTTCAGCCTGCCACAACCCTTAAATGCTCAGGGGAAAATATTCCCGTCGCTTATAAAATACAGGTGCAATAATGCCCAGAACAGGGACGTTTACCCTTTTCACTGAGCAGGGTAGCTGACCATAATGGAGCCAGGGATAAGCAGCCATCTCTACATCTCAGTATTAGAAGAACAGCCATTTGTCTGTTTCCCACTGACTGGAAACTTAGTTCTTCTAAACTCCTGGTCTAACTTGGGAAGTTTGGCATTATTCGGTGGAAATCCTGCCAAACTGCACTTTCTTACTCTCATTTCGACACACCAGAAAGAAATGTGACCCCAATCAGAGCAGCTGGAGAGATGGCAGCACAGAGAAGGCCCAAAGAATGGTGTCCCTGTATTCCATAGGGGCTACTAACTCTCCATAGGCTTAGTCACCTCTAGGAGCTATGCTGCCAAACCTGCCACATCCCGGAGGGGACAATGAAGATATTAGTACATACACTGTTGTTCCTATCGACTGGCAATGATAAAGCCACAGGTGGTGCATGATATTCTCTGGGACAGCATTCAGGAACAAAACCAAACTCACAAATCCACGGCACCTTGTTCGCATCTAAAGCACACATCTGGTCCTCACTCACAGTGACATTTGAGGAAAGTCAGCAGGTGAATGCGGCACTGGGGACACCTTGCACAGGCTGGTGAGGCCACGGACCAACTCTCACCCGATTCTCTGTGGATGTTTCCTTTCCCATTAGCTTATTTCTTTTTCAATGTATTTTGGGGGCTTTTTTTTAATTTTTAAAGCGTGCTTTGATTTTCCCTTCTACACTTTAGGTTATTCTCTGCAAGTTGCATGTCACAGGATAATGGGCCAGGACTGGCTTGTCCACTGGATACCAAGGTCAACATAGCAGCACATGGAGATAACAAAAGCGTGTTTGTGGAATGGATCTAGACGATTTTATTTTCTACTGCCGCCATCTACCTGATCAAATCTTCTTTCCTACAGTCCTTTAAATAATCAAATGTATTTCTTTTCCAGGTTTCATTATCTTGTTGGGCACGTCCTCATTCACGCTGGGTAGGCATTCTACCACCAAGTACGCTATAGTCCTTCCTTTTCAGTTCAGTTGTTCTTGGTGCTTAGCTGTATCACACATTTCGGCAGGCACATTTGCAAACAGTTTCGAGTCTCGGATGTCTTCAATATTTACTTCAATATTTACCTTCTTTGCAATCTGTACTTGAGTCCCTGGCTGACAGTACACAGAATAGTTGGCTGCATTCAGCCTCTGGGCTCTGTCCAGCTACAACTTTATCACCGAAAGTCAGAGGAGCCAGGCACCCACTTAGAAGTAGCTGTATCTGTTTAAACACAGCAATCAAAATCATGTTGTTTCCAGATGATTCTGAGAGAGGAGCTTGCTTATCAGATGAGCCACCATTCACTGACTGTACTAGAAAGCAGGCTTCTGAGTGCTGGGGCTCAGTGGATAATGTTTCACCAAGGGGCTATCGTGCATGTCACCAAGTCACTAGCCCTCAAGAACTTACTCCCTTCAGCCTCGACAATTATCACAAGACAATATGACCAATCATGGATGAATTACCTCTGAGCCAAAGAGACAAACGCTTGTCTGCTGGATAAAATTGAGTTAGGAAAGGTCTTGTCTAATACAAATTCCTTCTCTGGCTTCGAACTGAAGATAGCCCATCCCAGAGCTGTACACATGTTAAGCAGAAAGGCTGAATATACCAAAAGCATCAACATATCTGCTAGCCCTCTAAGACTGACAGGTCCTATCTCTTCTCCAAGACCCAAGGGAGACAGACAACAAAAGGTATCTAGACGGCTTGGCTCTTGCTCCCCATTCACAGATGAGGAGAAAGCTTCGAAAAAGACACATGACTTGCCCAGGGCACAAAGCAAAATAGAAATGCAGCCCCTGCCTGATGCCATTCTGTTTTCCTTCCTCAGACCAGCTGTTACCTGATGTGGGAGGTCCTTCTGCATATGTGTTGTTTTTATTGGATAATAAATAAAGGTGTTTTGACCAATGGCTTGGCAGAGCAAAGCCAGGTGGAAAATCCCAACAGAGATAAAGAGAGAAAGTAGGAGTTAAAGAGATGCCATGGAGCTGCTGAAGGAAAAGGACATGCCATCTAGAACCCTATCAATAGGCCACAGCCTTGTGGTGATACACAGATTAATAGAAATGGGTTCCTTTAAGATGTCAGAGCTAGCTAGAAATACACTTAAGCTATTGGCCAAATAGTATTGTAACTAGCATAGTTTCTGTGTGATTACTTGGGTCTGAGCTGTTGGGAACTGAGCAAGCAGTCTCCTTTTACAAAATGGTGCCCAACGTGGGGCAACTACATCCACATAAAACCTAAGAGAGCTTGGGAAGAAATTCTAGACACCAAAGAACAAAGTTAAGCACAGTTTCTTGGTAGCAGCATTTTCTAGGGTGTGCTCTATTTGCTAGAGGCCAGAAGAGACGTGAATCCTTTAAAAGAAGGCTTCCTGACTCAGCATCAACAGCAAAAAAAGGAAGGGCTTCTTTAAGAGTTGGCTTCCTGGTTCATGCTGGTAGCATAAAACTCTGGCTCTTTCGGGAGGCCCTACACTTAAATGGGATTTGTAAACAGCATGCTACTAGTTGCCTAATGGTGACATAGACCTGCTGCATCCCTGGAGCTGGGGTAATGAGCATGGCTCACAGAGCTGCCAGTGAACATACCTCCGCCATGTTGGACTGGACAGGGCCAAAAGGCAAAGCAGTCTTAGTCCTAGCCATACTGTTTAGCATTTTAAGAAGCACTATTGGGCCAGGCGATAGTGGCACATGCCTTTAATCCCAGTACTGGGGAGGCAGAAGCAGGCAGATTTCTGTGAGTTCAAGGCCAGCCTGGTATATAGGAGCTAGTTCCAGGACAGGCACCAAAGCTATAGAGAAACCTTGTCTCAAAAAAATAAATAAAAGAAAGAAAGAAAGAAAGAAAGAAAGAAAGAGAGAAAGAGAGAAAGAGAGAAAGAGAGAAAGAGAGAAAGAGAGAAAGGAAAGGAAAGGAAAGGAAAGGAAAGGAAAGGAAAGGAAAGGAAAGGAAAGGAAAGAAGAAGACCACTCTTGGTCAGAAAATAATTACAGATACACAATAGAAACAGATTAGAGACAGAATCAGACAAAAATAAACCTCTGAATGGGTCACACTGTGTATTAAAAAAATGTATGTAGGCTTAGGAGAGAGAGGAAAAAGAGTATAGAAAGAAAAAAAGGTACAGTCATAGATTAAAGGAGTAAAGACAATAAAATAAATACTAAAAAGTAATAGAGTAAAAAAATAAGACACATAAAGATAAAATACATGGAGACTCTGGATTGTGATATTATTGAATTTTCTTCAAATTTTTGATTACAGAAATACATTTGTTTCTGGAGGTTGCTAAGTTAAACCAACATAAAGGTATCTTGACTTCAAAATTTGGGTCTAAGGATATGTTGCTTTGGAAAAGGGGTTCTGCTTTTGTTTACACAGATGATGAGAAGCTGTGGATTTCTATCAGGCTAATGTGGTTCAGTGGAACAAGACCCCTCCCCCAAAAGGTCTTTATAAACCCTAAATACTTCACCCAACAAACAGCAGAAAGCAATTTGGATAAAACTATGCCCAAATTCCCAAAATAATTGTTTATAAATGTTTGTTTTCATGTAAGGGGGATATGATATATAGAGA